GCTGGCCTCAGCCATCTACTTGCCTCCCATCCTGGCCGTCCGGTCCCACCTTCGGCCTGCCAGCATGTGCCAAGCCAACGGGGCCTACAGCCGGGAGCAGTTCAAGCCTCAAGCCACCCGTAAGTGAGGGGCCTCCTCTAGAGCCCCTCTTCTACTTCCCTCCGAGGGGGTAGGGGGCAGGGAGGCTTGCAGCCCGCAGAGCGCTGAGCAGGCAGCTAATCAAATTCTCCCGCTGTTTATACCGATGCTGTTGAACCTCAGCACATGTTAGCTTGGGGGCATTCAGGGTGCACGGGAAACCAGTTAGGTTTTAGTTTCCATACATTTTTCCAGAACTCTCTCTCTTTTTTTTTTTTTTGCGGTACGCGGGCCTCTCACTGTTGTGGCCTCTCCTGTCGCGGAACACAGGCTCTGGACGCGCAGGCTCAGCGTCCATGGCTCACGGGCCCAGCCGCTCCGCGGCATGTGGGATCTTCCCAGACCGGGGCACGAACCCGTGTCCCCTGCATCGGCAGGCGGACTCTCAACCACTGCGCCACCAGGGAAGACCCCAGAACTCTCTTTAACCATTAACTGGTTTCCGCCCATCTCTGATGAATGTTTGGCAGTCAGGCATCACGGCCACTGCTCTCTCAAGCTCACACGGTGCCTGGAACCCAGGGCTCCTCTGCGCTGCAGCCTATTTCAGGGAGTCGTTCCGCCCCACCCGTTTCTACTTGGCACCTGACATGGCTCTTGGGCTAGCCCCTCCGACAGCTCCCAGGCAGCCTCCCCATCCCAGCTGCACTGCGGCAGTCATGAGTTTTCTTAGCCTTGCTCTGCACCCAGGCAACGTGTGGGGTTTGGCGAAGCTCTCGTTGGTTCTTTCAACCCCTTCCTGCCTATCATGACTGACCAGCTCAGGGGCACCTAGGGTAGAAGGTGCTGGGTTTGCAGAAGCCCTACCCATGTTACCCTGGAGCGAGCGTGCCCAACTGGGAACACGGACCATGAATGGGGGTGCTCTTCACGCCTTAACTAGGCCATGCCCGGGCCCAACAGGAGATCTGGAGAAGGAGAAGCGAAGACTCCAAAATATTTTTGCCACCGGGAAGGAGCCAGCGGAACGGAAAAGAAAGCCCCCTCCTGTGCGACAGGAGAACCCAGCCCCTGAGCTGGACCGGTTTGAAGAACGTGAGCCCCTCATGGGCCGGTTACGCTGGGGAGGGGAGTGTGTGTGGAGGGGGGAATCCCTGAGGGGCAACCGCAGATCTGCTTCCTGTTCCCAAGAGAAGCAGCCTGCCGTCCCTGCCGTCCCTCCCGGGAGCCTGAGGGCCCCCGTTGCCCTGTACGCTGACAGCCCTTTCCCTTTCCAGTGGTAAAGGAAATCCAGGAGAGGAAAGAATTCCTGGCTGACATGGAGGCCCTAGGGCAGGGCAGACAGTACCGAGGGATCATCCTTACTGAAATCTCCCAGGTAGGAGAAGCAACAGGGAAATGGAGCCGGGGCGGGGGGGGGCGGGGGG